CACATTTAAATAATGTCAGGCTGTAAACCGGTTCAGGCTTTTAAAAAGCATTCAGTTAAAATGTACTGTTAGGCTCAGGCCGAATTCTGTTCTAGTCCTGAGCGCTGCTGTGTTGCACTGCTGTGTTTGTCTAACTGTCTCTGGACTGACTGAACTCATCATGAGAGAGCGTGAATCAAAGCGTGATCCTCATACTGTGATGGTTTGGGATGAATACATGTACCGTTACACCCCTAATAGTGTTAATAACTCATCTCTAATAACTGATTTATTTCCTCTTCTCCATGATGAAAGCACATATTAGACTAGATATTCTTCAAGACACTAGTGTTCAGCTTAAAGTGACATGTAAAGGCTTCACTAGGGTAATTAGGGTAAAGTTAGGGTAATTAGGAAAGTCATTGTGTAACAGTGGTTTGTTCTGGAGACAATCCAACACTAATATTGACCTTAAAATCTCAATATAATATAATTTTTTTTTTATTATTATTAAAAACTGCTTTTATTCTCGCCTAATAAAACAAACAAGACTTTCACCAGTAGAAAACATATTAGATGAGATACTGTGAACAATTCCTGAATCTGTTCAACATCATTTGGGAAATATGTGAAAAAGAGAAATCGTCACAGGAGGGTGAATAATTCAGGCTTCAGCTGCATGTGTGTATACTGTATATATGAGTGTCATCATCACAGCAGCACAGAAATACAGGACAGTAACTGTTCATATCTTCATTTGCAGATATTCAGTCTAGAGTTCAGAGATCATGGACAAACTCAGCAGCTGAAGTGGAGATGTTTGCAGCTTTCAGAGGTTTTATTCATGTTTAATTGTGTCTTTAGGTTTGTTCACTGTTCTTTACATCATTCATATTGTCATTGTGTGATCAGAGAATACGCTGAGTTAGTTTGATAGTTTGGCAGAATCCCAGTGTCTGCTGTCCTGATCTATTTCTTTTGTTTGATCATGTTTACTTTCATGTGTGTGTATTGTGAGCTTCACAGTGATGCAGTGGGTAGCATGATCGCCTCACAGCAAGAAGGTCACTGGTTTGAGTCCCGGCTGGGTCAGTTGACGTTTCTGTGTGGAGTTTGCATGTTCTCCCCGTGCTGGCGTGGGTTTCCTCCAGGTACTCTGGTTTCCCCTAAGCCAAAAAGAGAATGAAAGTAAGAATGAATGTGTGTATTGCCTCTTCTTGTTGAATCTCTGAATGCCTCCTGAATTGTAAGTTTGGACTAAAGCCTCAATGTAAATGTAATATCAACTGAACTGACTGTTGAATAAATAATACTAATATTAACATGTTGATATGCTCCTCATTTAATGAAGTCATGCATGCTAAGATGCTGATCTGCTGAATCACAGCACAGAGTATATAACAGTCAGTATGGATCTATAGCCAAAGAATGACTTGTACCATCATCGTATAAGGATAAACTGACCCTCTGTCAACTACATCGTCACTCCATTGTTCTTTTCCTAAATGATGCATCACACTATGATAGTTCAGCCACGAGTAACGTTGTTGTTTGGGAAACACACCCCAGATCAGGAATACAGTATAAATATAAGATGATTTTGCATATTTACATCAATGAGAATCACACCATATAAACAATGATTGAACAGTGATTACAAAAAACAAACAAATATAAATGTTATAATAAACAAACTAATGAGTTAAACTAGCAGTAAAGAGCAATAGGCAGAATGACGCAGCATATATTGCACACTGTATTCTCTCATGGCTAGCACAATGAATATTCTTCCTCGATCTTTCATATAAGAGACTGTCTGTTTTATATAATGATGGTGTAAATGTTCACTCAGTGATTGTCACATTATTACTCACATTTGGTGCATGAACACACAACATATAGCAAGAAAGAAAGCGCATTGAGATCTGGCACCTGCATCTGTATATGAGAAGCTGCACCGCTAATAACAGTGTGAAACTGTGAAACTCACTCATTATTTTCAGTTCCTACTGCACTGTCTGACAGCCAGCACTCTGCTGATCCTGTCTCGTTCATTTCTTGTTCATTCTTGTTCTGGACGCTAGTCCTATTCTTTTTTGTATGTTGTGCTCTGAGTTTTCTCAGGTCATGCGCTCGTATCTCCTGTCTTTGTCTGTGTCTTCCTCTTTGTGTAAGCCAGTCTTGGCTGCGCTTATGGTCCAGACGGGCTCAGTTAAGTTGGTTTCTGTTTCGGTTGGCACTGGGATACTTGTGTACTTGTGTCCTGCATTTGGTTTTGTGTTGGTGTTGTGTGAAGCTCATGGCTTCAGGATGTCATCTGGCCCACATGCTTTAGTTGTTTCATGTGAAGACGTGGTTAATGACTGTTCTCATTGGCTGCGTGTTCAATCCTGTTTGACATGATCACATGGCTTGTGTTGTCATGTGCTCTCCTGTCTATTGTCTAGTCCTGCATATCTTGTTATCCCATTATTAGTCTTTTCTGTTCACCTGTTTGTTTGTTCATTTGTTCTCCTTATCGCTTCCTCTTGTCTGCTGTCCTGAACCAGTTTGTCATCATTATTCCTGAGAGTCATGTCCTGATCCTGTCTAGTCTTGCCAGCCCAGCTCAGTCTAGTTTGTCTTGTAATCATGGTTTCTCCACTGTGTGATTTTTGTTTTATTCATTATTAATAAACACATGATTTTGTCATGCACTTCAGTCCTTGCTCTTTTCCCTAACCAAACCCCTGACCATATGATCATGTCTGACCTTTAGTGTGTCCTCACTGGGCTGTCTGTGTCTGGGTGTGTTTTGATTGAACCAGCATGAAACTGAAGACACAAAATCCCATTCTTACTTGTTAATGAACGTGACCTGTCATAGTTTAGCAAAGACACAAACCCCTCACTACAGCTTCAGCTTGATGAAGAATATGAGCATCAATAGTGGTGAATCTGTTCAGGAAAATATCCGGCCGTGTGTTACTGTGTCTCAAACAACTCAGAATAATACACAACATTATAACTAAAGCTATATATATATTATACTGAGAGAGAGCGCTTCTCTTCCTTTGAATGCTTCAGTCATCAATGATGTTCAGTTCAGTTTACTGGATCTTCATCTGTGTTGAGCTGCTTTGACACAGTCTACAAAAAAGTGCTATAGAAATAGAAATGAGTGATGTAAGTGTCCTCGTGATCAGAAGGTGAAAATGCAGTGTGTGTGTGTGTGTGAGCTGTCGAGTGCAGGATCATGACTCTATATGGCCAGATGACTGTGCTTCAAGTGACTCTGACATGAGGTGTTGTGCCAAACAAAGTGTTGCAGCTCATAGAAAAAGGAACCGGCCCTAAAGATTCACACCATCAGTCTAAACTGGTCTATAGTTAAAGCCCACTGCTGACTATGTGTTAAACCAGTGTGGTCAAAATAACGCCAACAACAGGTCTAAACTCAACAGTTCCTGTATTCTTTGAAAGCCTCGTCTCTGTCGACTCTGTCCACGTTGGTGTGTGTTTTTGATTTCTGTGATGTTTGTAGTAAAATACATCATTAAAACTTTAGATTTACCAAAGGTTGAGGAACTTGCAGAACTGAATGTGGCACAAAATATTTGCAAACACAAACAGGAAAGCAATGTTTCCATCCAGTCAAAGAGAACAAAATCCTCACATCTTGATAAACTGGAACCAAATATCAGACAGGGAAATGTAGTTGGCTATGGTGGTAGAGACACTGTTGGCCTTTTCCCTTCTATAATAAATGAGTTGTGCCTCATGCCCTTGTGTTGCCAGAAAATACAGTGAAATGTCTGATAATGAAAACAGTAAGTTAGGGGATTTTGTTGCAGTGCTCTAAATGAAGTCTCTAATCTCAGGGATTTTTCCACTTTAGGTATTCCTCTCTGAGTCTTCTTAAACTGAAAATACAGCATGTTGATTATTTTCTAAAATAATGTTCTCTATTGACCACATCTCTGTTCACAAGGATATAATCAACATCAAAACATTACGACAAAGTCCATGCTATGACAAACTTTGGAGACCGCTGTCACAGACTGTTTCTTAACTCCAAAATCAAACTCAAATTGACCAGAGAACACAAAACACATCCCTGCACTTCAGCTGAGTCCTGAGACTGAGTCACAGCTCATGGACCTTTCCCGATCTCATCCCATCTCTCCTGACATGAGTGCAGACATGTGGGGCAGTTGTGGTGTAATGTTTTGGCATTTGAACTTCAATTCCTGGTCCCAGCAGGAGTTATTAGAAGATGTGAGAGGAATCTACCGCCTACAGTGTATGTTGATATTTTAGGTTTCAGAAGCAGTGTTTGGTCTAGACTGCAGTAACAGGGTTGACAGGACACTCCAGAACTAACACTGGTCAGATAGCGTGAGCACTGAGTTATCAGGCCTTCAGATAATATTGTGTGGAAAACTGATCCATCAAACAAGTGTTGAGCTGTGGTTAACAGCAAAGGCAGCCTGTAGAAGCACACAGAAAGAGGAACCCAGAGGAGCTGTGAGAGAAAGATTCACACCATCAGCTAAACTGGTAGATCAGACACTGCTGAATGTGGGTTAACTTGTGTAGAGTTCCAGAGAGTCAATAGAACAACAGATCCAAACCAGAAGAGCGAGACCACAGCTCTGAAAACAGCAGAACTGATACAGGATCAGCTCCACTGTAGGATCTGTGTGTGTGTGTGTCAGTATATCAGACATCACAGTATTGCAGGAAAGTCTTGAGTCTGCAGTAACTGAAACTACACTCCACTGTAAAGCTTGAGTTTAAGAGTGTGCTTGATTAAATAAAAATGAATCACATTAAAATCATTCAAATTTAGACTATGAATGAGGACGACATGAAAGAAGACGATTCTGCATAAAGATTAAATATTCACATCAGATGGTCCTAATGTAGTTCCTGATATTGTTAGAGAAAAACAAGCTCGAGTATTACTGACAATTATTCTGTCATTTCCTCATTAAAATACAGCGCTATCACAGTGTTCAGTGTCCATTATAGAGTTAAAACTGAGACGTATCACTGTGAGGAAGCTGCAGAAGCACAGGAAGAGCTGCTGCTGTTTAAACAAGAGCTCAACATATATATATATATATATATATATAAAGCAGAAGACGAGTGTCAGACACACAGAATGGCTGATAGGAGTCCTCTGTTTCTGCTGCTCATCTTCTGGACACTCAGCACAGGTAAACACTGCTGTTCATCATCTACAAGATTATAAACTCAGCACTTCAGCTCCTTATTCTGGACCAGAGTTTGACTAAACTGGAGAATCAGTCAGAGTCATGACCGGCTGTTTTATTCCTGAACGCTCTGATATTTGTTTAATGTGTGCTGTATTGACTTTTAAAACTCAAAACTTAAAGCTGCGTCTTTCTAGCAGTGTGTGTAATTATATTAGACTTTACACCGTGTCCTAACAACACACGATGTGACAAGATTCCAGCAACAAGCAGTTTGTCTGTCTGCACTGCACTCCCAATGAAATGGTAAAGGCTTTTATTCTAATTAATACATAAGCTCTTAAACATTGCTAATAGTCTACTGAGTGACTGATGTTCCTGGTCACAGTTCTGACTTTCATTTCCAAACTGTCTGCTGGTTATTTAATTTTTATTAAATTGCTGCTGCTGTCAGTATGGCAATAATAGTCACTAAAATTAGTATTTAAACTCACATTAGCAGAGTGACAGGTATTCTGTACCTGAGGAGATAATCGTCATAGTAGTTTATACTGTTGTTCTGCTGCGAGGTCGTGGAAATAGAAAACATTTCTAAAAAAGAGATTTTCATGCATCGTATAGATGGTTAGACCCAAAAGCCATTATGAAGAAACATTCCAATGTTTTTTGAAAATGATTTAATTATTTTATTTATAAGCTTCCTATTAAACAATTCAGTGTATTGTCCTGGTGGGGTCACTAACTTAGTTTAGCATATCCAAGCAGAAAAGGTTGGTTTGTAAATCTTGTGTTTTCTGATGGAGTTCAACAGTACTTCTATGGTGTCTTGGTGGTTTGTAGGGTGTCCTCTGAAAAGCCCATTCTCCTGCACTGTGTATAATCACTCTGCCTGCTGCAGACATTTTACGGGCAGCAGAATAAGACAATAAGTCCTATAAATAATGGCCTAGAAAATTGTTATTTTTCCTTGGTCTTATAGCACAATGTAACTACAAATGGCTCACAATTTAAATAGGAAAATTATCAAAAAGCACCTTTTTTAATTTTGGAGTGAAATGCTAATAATCATTGTAGCTATGCAAATAGTGACCACACCAGAACAAGAAATGAACTGAAAGGTTTCAGAAATAATTCAAGTCAACTGCTTAGCTCCAGGAGACTTGTAAAATTAGCAATTTTTTGTTTAGGAGGCACATGAGGGAAGAAAAAAAAAATATTTCTTCTAAATTCAAAATTCTGTAGATGTTAAGAAAAAAAGGAAAAGTTAAACTTTTTTACTAAATATATTTTACTAAAGTACTAAAGTATTGGTCTGAGGTAGAGGGCAGGAAAGACAGTTTTTTATATATAGGAGACAGGCTTGACATTGTCTGAAAACCAAAATATTTTCTGAATTGTAACCAAATGTTAAGACTATTAAGTATTATAGGGTTAGAGTAGTTTGATGTCTTTAATAGTAATAAAGAGAATAGTAATGCAAAAATACTTGGGTACAAAAAGTACATTTCATTTCAACCCATACTGGAACCCAGTGGCAGAGTCTGTAGTGTGACTGGCTTCAATATACTGTAAAACACAGATTGGAATACTTTGAAACAAAAATTTAGGAAAAATATTAATTTATATTGTATGTATTCTGCCTGCAAGAAAACATGAGAGTGCAGTAAAATATGACACTAAATGTTTCAGGTGTGTTTGGAGCAGAATGGCGTCAGGTGTCCTGCAGTTCTGGACAAACTGTTCATCTGCCCTGTAATAATACTGTTCAGCACTGCAGCACATCAGAAACTACATGGCTCTACAGCAAAGGCAGCCAGACAGACACACTGTTTAATTTAGGAGTAAATGGGAGAAACTCAGAGAGACTGAATCTGGGCTCTGACTGCTCTCTGATCATCAGTAGAGTCACAACAGAAGATGCTGGATATTACATCTGCCAACAGTGGAGAGGAGGAAATCAGAAACAAAGCAATGATTCAGCTGTGTTTCTGCATGTTGTTGCTGGTAATTTCCTGCTCATGTTCAGTTTAATCAGGGCTGAATTCTGTGTTTCAGCTCATGATTAGTGATTTGTGTCTTCTGTTCACTTTCAGTCTCTCCATCATCATCATCATCATCATCATCATCTTCATCATCTGATATTTGTCCAGGTACATTTTTTTTTATTTAATTTATCGATAGTTCTATTTGAAACAATCAGAAAAGCTGATTAAAGTCAGAAAATTTGTGAAAGTTGAAAGATGATTGTGATTTAGTGGAGTGTGATTGAGCTGAATGAACATCTCCATCATCTCTTACAGGTAAAGCAGAGCTGAATCCACAAGCAGAAACAGCAGCAGCAGAATCAACTAAAGGTAGAGCAGTGTTCATCTCACATCACTGCACAATACTAGAGTTATAGTGTTGATGAGTTATTAAACTGATGTTCGGCTGCTGTATGATTCATATTCACCTTCATCTTTCACAGCAGCAGCAGCAGCAGTGACTCAAGACCACAACAAAAACCCGAAAACAGAAAACCCCAGAGCTGCTTCACCAGGTCTGAACACTGTCTGACAGACATCACTGCTTTTTGTTTTTATGAGTATTTATGAGTTATCTGGAGTGTTTTTGACTAATTAAACTTTCAATGACGGTCATAATCTGAATCAATAATGTTCATCTTTTACAGCTGGAGCTAAAACACCAGCCCTGACTCCAACAAACAACACAAACACAACTATACAACCAGGTCATATAACAGGTACATGATGATGATGATCGTGTCATCGATGATAAAATTGATGACGTCACTCTCTTTACAGTTTTGTCTTCTTTTTAACAAAATGTGTGCATTAAGAGTCTTTCACAGACAGGATATTAACAATATAGATGAAGATACTGATACTGTTTACATTCAGAACAAGATTAACACAGAGAGAGAGAGAGTGAGAGAGAGAGAGAGAGAGAGTGTGTGTGTGTGTGTGTGTGTGTGTGTGTGTGTGTGTGTGTGTGTGTGTGTGTGTGTGTGTGTGTGTGTGTGTGTGTTTACTATAAATGCATAACTGAGGACATCTGCTGGCCACAAGTGGCATAATCTATCGATAAGAATCTTTGCTGCTACTGATCAGCCAATCAGAATGCAGCGTTCTTTATCATCATCATCATCCTTCTCCTCCTCCCAGTGTGAAGAATAACTAAGTTTAGAGTCAGAGGCAGGTCTAGTCCAAATCCCCATCATCATCTTCAACATCATCTTCATCATCATCATCATCATCTTCAGTGTTCAGTGTTGAGTTAGTGTGTTGTAGTCCTGAATGCTCTTTATCTGACTGAGTGCTTCTGTTGTTCAGTGCTTTCAGTTCTGCTTTCTGCTGCTGCTTTGGCTGTTTTCATCGCTGCTGTTCTGTGTTTGATCCAGCGCAGAAGAAGAGCTGGTGAGTCTCACATTTACTCCAATTACAAACACTTGACTTTAATGAGCAGAAAACAAGAGCAACATTCCTGATCCCTGAGCAAACAACAAAACACCACTGAAGAAGAGCTCATGGCAAACTACTGCTCACAATGCGCACAATGGAGATTCCATTGCTTTTAATGGAGACTCTATTGCTCATGTGCCTCATTTTCTGCCTTCTATTGGTGGCCTGTTAAAAGCAGTCAATCCTAATGGAGAATGTGGCCAAACACAGCACAAACCAGGACAATGTGCTGCTTTTAATGCCTCAAATCTGATGCTCTGGGATCTTTTAATGCTGTCTGTAATGGAAACCAGTAGACTTTCTGTTGTGTTTTCTCCTCAATCCTCAGCAGCTCATCAAAGAGCGAGCGGTGAATCAGCGGTGAGTTCAGTAACGCCAGTCATTTAGATGGACTGATTGATTTAGTGTGTTTAAAGCTCAGTAAAGTGTCCCTCATGCAGTGTTTGTTGTGTAAAGGTCAAAGATGAGAATCAAGTCCACTATCAAACAATCCACATGTCCATTAATCCTGCTGCCAGAGCCCATGTGAGTGGCCCAAATCAGTGATTTCTCCACATCTTCAGGCGGATTGAGTGGATTCAGCTTGATTCTGCTCTTCTGCATTGTGTTTAGGAGCAGACGGAGGATTCAGTCACTTATTCTGAGGTCACTTGTGCTGGGAAAAAGCTGGAGAAATCAGCCAGTGTGAGTAGATTCAGCACAATCAGTGTGTGTGTGTGTGTGTGTGTGATGGTGATGATGATGATGATGATGATGATGATGAGCTGAATCTGTTTCTCAGGATGATGATGGTAATGACTCAGTGACTTACGCCGCCGTCAGCAGAAGAGCTTAATGTGTGCAGAAGAAGAAAAAGAGCCTTCAGGAATAAAGATCAACACAAACAGGCAGAAATCACAGCAGCATCACTGCAGCATTTCAGGAGCACAAGTTTCCCTCAAATGCGCAGATTCAGGACTTTAGTGTGGAGAATTGGAGAGATTTAGAGCAGAACAAACACAGCTGGAATATTACTGCACTGGAAAGAGGACAAAGCAGCTGTTCTGAAGGAGAGAAAGAAAGAAAGAAAGAAAGAAAGAAAGAAAGAAAGAAAGAAAGAAAGAAAGAAAGAAAGAAAGAAAGAGAGAAAGAAAGAAAGAAAGAAAGAAAGAGAGAAAGACAGAAAGAAAGAAAGAAAGAAAGAAAGAAAGAAAGAAAGAAAGAGAGAAAGAAAGAGAGAAAGAAAGAAAGAAAGAAAGAGAGAAAGAAAGAAAGAAAGAAAGGAAGGAAGAAAGAAAGAGAGAAAGAAAGAAAGAAAGAAAGAAAGAAAGAAAGAAAGAAAGAAAGAAAGAAAGAAAGAAAGAAAGAAAGAGAGAAATAAAGAAAGAAAGAGAGAAAGAAAGAAAGAAAGAGAGAAAGAAAGAGAGAAAGAGAGAAAGAAAGAAAGAAAGAAAGAGAGCAGGAAAATAGGCTGTGTTTGTGGAGGAAAGAGAAGACTGCAGTGGGAGAATTACAGCACTGTCTGTTTGTGTTACAACTTACAATCATCATCTTCATTTGTCTCTTCAACTCATTTGAGGCCCAGTTTTGTCATGTCTTGCTTTATAGAAATGTCTTTTTCATTTGGCACATGATCTCCAACATCATCTCCATGTTTCTAGACTGTATTTGAGCTCCATTCCTTCATGTTGAATCTGCTTTATTTGTGTGCAGGCAGAGATATAAAGCCCTACTTTGCTTTCTACATCACATTAAAAGTACTAAAGTGATCTGATGCTTCTGGAGCAATATTTGACTTCATGTTTGGGGGAATCAAATGTCAAACTAAGAGTCCAATAATGCTTAATTAAAGCTTAATGTGGTGTTGTTCACTTCATCTGTGGATTGAGGCTCGCTCTTTACTGTGTTTACTGTTAATTACAGGTAAAGTGTGACAGAAATGTGGGTTTCTCTGCTTGTTTAGGGACATTAAGACACATGAAGTGTTTTATAATGTCTCCTTTAAATGAGTTAAATGATTGAGCTTGGGTTTGTGTCTTGATTTCAGTTGTGTTTATTGGTTTATAGTAATATGTTGTGTGATTTGTGTTTGTGTATTGGTTATTAAGCTGGACTTCTGATATAAACACTGATGTGAAGCAAATAAATCCTCAATAAAGTGCTTCAGTGACCCTACATTACATCTCTAGATTGTCTTTCATTTCATTTCAGCGCTTTGTGTTTTTCTTTCTGATCATTATGTTGTGACTATTTGAGGGACTTTTATTTTGACACTTCCTGTAGGCCCCATATAAAGAGGAAGGCCTGTGTGATTGTGGAGGGAAACACTGTTTGGACTGGAGCACTAGCTGTGTTTGTGAGCTGTTTCTGGACATCTTTGACTCTTTCTCTTAGACTCTATTGATGGACGATTCTGTCATGGATTTGAATGGGAATATTGGGGCTTTTGATCATGTTTGGGAGGATTTTTGGACACATTCTTCATTGGTGTTTGAGTAAACTAATCTCCTCAGGCTCTTCACTGGACGTCTTGATGAAGGATTATTGATCAACTCAACTGGACAATCAGGTCAGTTCTGTTGCTTTAGTTGATGACTGTAATATATTGATGTGTGTGTGTGTGTGTGTGTGTGTGTGTGTGTGTGTGTGTGTGTTTCTCAGTCTGACCGCTAGATGTCAGTGAAGCCGCGCTGAAGTCTCGATGAGGACTGAGATTAAACAGCAAACTCAGCATTTCCTCCCTCATTTAGACAATCCTGCAGAAATAAACACATTTCAGCCTTTACTCTTGCTTTATTGTTGGACTGGTGAATTTACAGCACTTTTATACTGGTTTCACGGCTCAATTTCTGCAATATCAGAGAGTTTTTAAAGCTATCGGCCTATTGGAGACAGTGAAAGTCAGGGAATTTCAGTCATGGAGAATAGTTTATTGTTTATTTGTCAGTTTCAGTTTGCATTTAAAAGACATTTATAGCTTTATTTTTGAGCAAATCTGCTGTGTCGAGGGTATTTTCAGCTCCATTATTGATTTGATGCTCATCAACTGGCAGTCACTGGAGTCAAATGCAGACACTGAACCTGTTAACTAAGGCTAAATATTCACTAAACCAGAGTTAATGTGTGTTTACCATGCTCAGCTGTGCTAACCCCTGATTAACTGTGCTTTTACAACACCAAACATAGTTTTACCATGGTATTTGTAGTAAAACTGTGCTGATAAAATGAGTCAATGTGGCAGAAAAACCTGCTTAGTGAAATGGACTATTAATAAAAGCTGGTGAATTGTTGTTATCAGTGAGTCTCAAACACACTCAGAAGAGCTGAAGAGTCTTAATGGAGCCTTTGTTATTATCGAGTGTCTCATCGTCATGTCTGCTCTTGAATCAGTGTTTTCAGCCTCTCATATCTTGGAGGAAATTTGCAGAAGAAAGAGGAGAAATGTTGTTGAGCTGATGAGTTTCTGAAGAGCAGAAAGAAGAGGCAGAAGTATATTAGACAGTGCAGAAACACTAAACTGAAGGAAATGTTTGTTAGAATTGTTGAAGGAAACCGGACTGGACGAGATAATGAAGGAGAGATAGTCCAGAAGGGGGCAGTAATGAGACACAATGCCGTAAATCTGCCGTAAAACCCTGAAGAAGAAGAAGCAGCTCTGCCCTCCTCCAAAGCTAAGCAGGAAGATTGTCTCTTTTTCTGTCTCCTGATGAACAAAATCCAGCATAAATCAGCATCAGAATGAGGAGAAACGCTTCACAGAAGGATTTTTGAGCGTTTGCTTTGATCAGCTCTTGGTGTTTCTTCATTTCTGAGACAAAAGATCAAACTGAAAGTGAAAGTGACTGAAATATACGACTGTATTTGTGTGTGTGTGTCATCAAATTGAACAAATGATCTCTTCAGTTTTCACAAATACGCCAAATCAACGAGTCCCGGAGCAAAAGACTTGATTGCTGGATCAGTAGAGGAGACATCAGCTTTATCTGGAGTCTGCTTTCTGCTCTCAAACTACATTATTGATGCCATTTTCATTTCTTATCAGCTGATTCTCCACCATTATTTCCTTTTCACATCAGAAATCTCTCCCGTTTAGTGCTTATGAACAGCCATATCCATTCAGCTTGATCACATATACCTTATTGCTCATGTCTAAAGGGGAAAAACCACTTTGCTGATGTTTTCTCCATGCTTATACACACTTTTGTTCCTTTAGCTGTGTTTTGAGCTTGTCAGCAACAGAAACAGCATCACATTATTGAATGTAACTCAACACAAATATAATCATCTGCATGTGCCTGAGCAAGAGAAGATGACAGAAAGCTCATCTTATATCTGCTCAAAGCTTCTGCAGATTCTCCAATGTTCATTTTCAGCCAGACTCAGAGTGATCGGTCTCCTGAGCAGAATCAGCAATATCTGATCAACATCAGTGATGAAGTGAGCGACTGAAGGAAACACAAGCAGATTAGTTTATTCAGCAAACAATGCTGACTATTGGACAAAGCCAAGACAGACAAGACCACGCCCCCTTTGATACGCCAGAGTCACTAGACACGCCCCTCTCTGCTGATTGGCTGAAGTGTGTTTTGGGACACTGTGGTCAAAAGTGTTTGGTGAAAGTCGCTCAGAGCATCTTTAATGATCAACAGAAACACACAGTTGTCCACTATAAACTGGTGTAGTGTCAGGAAGACAAAGAGTGAGGCTGATCTGAGAGGAAGCTGCAGAAGCACAGGAAGAGCTGCTGCTGTTTAAACAAGAGCTCAACATATATATATATATATAAAGCAGAAGACGAGTGTCAGACACACAGAATGGCTGATAGGAGTCCTCTGTTTCTGCTGCTCATCTTCTGGACACTCAGCACAGGTAAACACTGCTGCATTTACTCTGATGGACATTTACATTCACTCTTAGTCTGGACACTGCACACTGCCTTTCTTTAGTACAGACTTTAATCTGCTTTATTGATTAAGAGCAAGTGTTTGATCTGTATTGATCAAGTCCTTTATTATTGATAGTGTACAACACAGGCTTTATTATTCCTGACTGCACTAAAACTAAACAGTGTGGCTCAATATAATGCAGAACAGGTGTCAAGTGTGTGTGTGTGTGTGTGTGTGTGTGTGTGTGTGTGTGTGTGTGTGTGTGTGTGTGTGTGAACATATCTCTGATGGAGAAGCTTCATTCTGCTGAATTAGTACAAGAGAAACTTTGGATTCAGTCTGATGCTTTCTGTTCTCCAATGCTTGATCATTTCAGTTATTACAGGCTTCATATGTGCTGGAAATTTTTGAAAAGGCAGGAATTTATTTAGATAAAGTGCTTGAAAATTTAATTGATGTGTTTTCAGAATGTTTCTTTCTAAATATTTATTAGTTAACTAAAATAAAATAAATATTTTTGCTTTTGTATAAAGTGTAAACTCTGGAGTCTTCATGTGTCTGTAGTGTGATCTGTCTGTCTGTCTGTTTTACTTGCATCCTTTAAATGGAAAATAAAGATAAATGTAAGATGAGGGCTTCATGAACTCTTGTGTGCTGTTGGGTCATTTTCATCCACTCTGGGCTGATTTTGAGTCTTAACTTGGCCACATAATTCTCTCTGTTTCAGCAAATTTGATGATTTTTAGTGACATCTTGGTGCTGTTTTCTCCCCATTGACTTCCATTCTAATCACATGTGTTGATTGTAAAGCTTTGACAGCTATACTCCACTGTTTTACTTCACTGAACTCCATATAAAAGCCTGAAACTCTTCAGCAGAGACATGTCTAAAGGGTTAATGCTGATAAACTGATGATCAACAATATAAATGAGTAATCTTCCTCTTCCCAACCAATTGTGCCGCAAGCCTGCGTTTGAGTGAAGGTCTCGGCCGTTAGATCGCCCCCTGGGGGCTGGCTGCAGTACAAGTCATAAAGCCCGCCTCCTCCGTGTTAATGAAGGAGACTTGAGCCCAAATAAAAAAATGATTACACTTGCAATAAAATGTCCCGAAAGATGGTTCTGGTGGATTAAGGCACTGGTTATTGTGCTGAAATAGGTGCAGATCTTCATTTTTGTAAACAGTTTGTTTTTAGCAGTAATTTAATGCTGGGCGTGTCATCGTGATTGACAGCTGTGATTGACAGTTTCTCAAAG